GAACAAACAGAGTGACTTGATCCGCGCGAAGCTAGTTACCTAATTATTTTAATTATTTTATTTTTAAATCCTTTCTATCGCCTTAACGTTTTATTACTCATGCCGCAATTTTCTTGTATTGTTTCTATGTAAATATTTTAGGGTTTTAGTCAGTGTCTCATTAGCATTCTTACAATCGATTGTATATATTTAGGCGCATGTAAAACTTTTACTTTTCAACTTGAAAATGACCGTCGAGCGGTGGAAACGTCGTTGCTTTTTAATGTTAACTTTTTTAGTGAAAGATTGTACATTTTACCACAATACCATGCAAACTTTACACAATCCATTAGGCGCAAGGAAAGCCAGATTTTCGCAAATGTTTCCCTTTGCTAAGGAAAACGCTCAGGTTTGTCTGAGATGTTGGAATTTTTTTACGATTTTATGGGCATTATGAAAGGTAGCTGGCGCTAAGAGTTATGGGTAAATGTACCAGTTACCATGTATTTCCACGGGAGATTGGAAGACAGTGTTTATAGTCTTTCGAAACGGTTTAGGTATACCTTATATTAACACATTCCCAGGGTCTTAGCGGCATTGGTCTCATGCATGTAGATTACATCTGATAGCACAGTATTGAGATAACAAGGCCTGTTAAAAATTTCGCTTTAGACACATCCTTAGTGGGGTCTGACCGGGAATGAAGGAGGTGTAACGGAGGGGATATTACGTGGTCAATCCACTGGCCGCTAGCGCTGTTGTGCAAAGAAGCTTGCTTTCAGCCCGGTAATCCCGAAGTCATAACATGGGTTTAAAATATATTATCGACTAATATCGCCTGTTAATTTGCTGGTTTTCATGTGACGTCATCATTTTCCAAACTAAAAAATACCAATCCTTCTGAAGTTTTAGTTTCATCACCTTTAAGACCTTCTAATCACTTGACGTTTTACAAAGTTTTAGCTCGACAGGGTTCTTCATTTTGAGATAGAGCACGTTTGAATTTCTAAGTTTATTCGTTGCGTGACATCACAGTGGCGGCCCGAGAAAGCTCTTGCGTAGGTCAAAAGAGGAGATATCGCTCCAGTTTTTGCTAACTGTACAGTTCTTTGCACTAGAAGGAGCATTAATTTCAATGTAACGGAGCTCTAGAGTATTAAGAGTAAATGCCTATAAAAATGGACTTAAATCGCCTATCAATGGCACAAGTCGAAAAATTGATTTCG